TGACTAGCCTGGGTAGGCTTGGGTAGGCTTGTCCAGCTAGATTCTATAAAGCTAAAGGACTAGTTTACCAGCATTGGCTGAAGTGGATTGAGACATGCATTAAAACTGTCAAATTCTCTGTGCTTGTGAATGGAGAACCTGTGGGTTTTTTTGAATCAGAAAGGGGACTGAGACAGGGTGATCCTCTCTCCCCTTTCATGTTCATCCTAGCAATGGAGGGATTTAATGTTATGATGAGGATTGCTACACAAAATAGATGGATCAAAGGCTTCAAAGTGGGAGGTAGAGGGGGGGAAGAAAGAGAAATTGGTCATATGCTCTACGCAGAGGATGATACCCTCTGTGATCCTGTAGAGGAACATATAAGCTACATTAGAGTGATATTGGTACTTTTTGAAGCAGTCTCAGGATTGAAAGTAAACTGGGGAAAAAGTAGTCTCTTCCCTGTGAATGAGGTACCTCAGATAAAGGAGATAAAGGAGATGGCAGACATACTAGGGTGTAGTGTTGGGAAGCTGCCTACCACCTATCTAGGCATGCCATTGGGTAGCAATCACAATGCCTTGGAAATATGGGATGGTATTTTGGAGAAAACTGAAAAGAAGCTTTCTGGATGGAAGGCTCAATATCTTTCACTTGGAGGAAGATTGATCCTCATAAACTCTATTCTTGATTCTCTGCCCACTTATTTTTTTTTTTTTGATTTTGCACCGGGTGTCCGAGTCTCTTTGAGCCCCGACTAATCCCGGGGGTGCACAGGCCCTCGGCAAGGAGTTTCCCGCAAGTGCACCACGGTTAATTCAGGTTTTACCCAGTCCGATGGCCCTCACTTATGTGATGTCTCTATTCCCAATCTCAGGAAAAGTAGTGGAAAATCTGGAGCTAAGGAGAAAATTCCTATGGCAAGGCAACAAGGATGGAAAAGTCTATAGCTTAGTAAACTGGAAAACTGCTCTACTTAGCAAAGACAGAGGGGGGCTGGGTATTAAGAACTTGAAGTGGTTGCGGAGGTACACTGAAGAGAGAAATGCCCTCTGGAAAGAGGTGATTATAGCTAAATATGGTGAGTTACACCCTTGGTGTACAGAGAACACAACAGAACCTTATGGTGTGGGTGCATGGAGATCAATTAGAAGCTTGTGGCCACAAATGGAGACAAATTTATATATCAAGGTGGGAAGTGGCACAACAAAATTTTGGAAGGATGTATGGATAGATCAATCCCCTCTTAGGGATCTCTTTCCAGATCTTTTTCAAATTTGTGGAAATCCTAATGCCAATGTTGGTGATTGCTGGACTGAACAGGGTTGGGATCTATTTTTTAGAAGACTTCTCAATGATTGGGAGGTGGAATGCGTGGCTGAGATATTTGGGATGCTAGGTGGAGTGATCATAAACGCAAATGCTAGAGACAGGATGTTGTGGAAGCACAACAAAGATGGCCTTTTCTCAGTCAACAATGCTTACAGAAGAGGTCTCCAGGTGATGGCAAAACACCGCTGGAATTATTTTTGGAAGGGGGATATTCCTACAAAAGTGAAATGCTTCACTTGGCTAGTGATAAAGAGAGCTTGTTTAACACAGGAAGTACTTCAGAAGTAGGGTAGACAGCTGGTCCCTAGGTGTTTTTTATGCAATTTGACAAGTGAAACTAACAACCACCTTTTCTTGCATTGTAATTACACTGCTCAAATCTGGAATTTGTTCCTTAGCATTTCAAATCTGAATTGGACAATGCCAGAACGTACATCAAACGTGTCGAGGAGATGGGTAAGAAGAGGAGGCACCAAGAGTCAGAAGAGATGGTGGAGGCTAATACCATCATGCATATGGTGGTCAATTTGGAAGGAAAGGAATAGTAGATGCTTCGAAAATAGATCCAATTCCATACACAAGGTCAAATGGAATTGTATAGTATCTCTACTTTTTTGGTGTAAACAGTTGTGCATAGTAGATACAGATCAGATTGTAGATTTGTTAGGAAGTTTGTAATTGACACTTTTTGGTGGTGGCCAGCATGCCCTTAATGCTGAAGAATACAACCTTAACAGTTTCAAAAAAAAAAAAAGTTTACCAGCATTGGCATTTGTAAGAAAAAGAAAGACTTTTAAAACACTTCCTCTTCCCATTCATGAAAGGGTACTAACAAGAACTGAGGAAAGGAGAAGAGTTGAAGCTTGAGTGGTACTCCTCTTTCAAACTCAATTCTTAAGGTTCGAAGATGCTCGTCCGTCTACCGGAATAGGAGAAAGAGAAGATCTCGACTAGGATTTAGAGGGGTCTCTAGCGGATCTTTTCTAAGCCTGGGAGATGCCTCTGCTTAAGTTGCAAGTATTCCTACCCTCTCTTTTCTAAAACGAAAAATAGAAAAAAGAGAAAGAAGCCAAATTTTTTTTCTATGGACCCCTTCCACCAGATTACTTTACTGGCCGTAATTCATTCCAAAAGAGTAAAGGAACTAATTTCAGAAAAGGGCTCTCAAAAGTGTTCTCTTGTACCTTCTTCCCTTGGTCTAGGAGGTAGGTTATGTAGGTGGCACCTGTTCATAGGTTGCTCGATCAGGCCAAATAACCGATTAGTAGTATGTCCGAGATTGCCATAAGACCTCCCTCTTGGAAATTGGCTAATCAAAAGGATTTTTTTTTTTTTTTTGAAATTTTTCGCTTATCCAAGAAAGAAAGATCAGATCAGTAATAGCAGACTTCCAATTTCTTGTTCCCATGAAAGCATGAGTGAACAGTCAAGTATTGTTGAGAGGGTTTGAAAAAGCTGAATCTGTAAAAGGCTTATCGGATGGGTAAGAAAGACTTTGGTCTATCCAATTCAAGTTCAAGACCGATTAAGAGAGCTACGTCCAATAGGGTTGGGATCATCATCCGGAATCAAAAATGAAATGAATTGGTAGTGAAATACCAGGTTTTTTTTTTTGCTTCGGAAGGAAAAAAAACATGTCAAATAAGGTCTTCACTCAGCTCTCATGCTGGGGAATATCTCCACCAGACATGGAAGGAAGGAGTGTAGGATTGGAAAGCTTTGCCGGAAAGAAGCTATTCGACAAATTCCAGTGGCTACTATCGACGAAGCGCGCTAGATTTTTTTTTTATCTTTCAATCAAACGCTATTTCTATGATGCTTTTTTTGAAGTATTAGAACAAACTGAAGGAAGAATTGCTAGAGCAGATAGATCTCTTAAATATGATCACTTATCACTTAGAATTTATAATTCTCCTTTTAAATCTTATACAGAAAAATGGCCGAAAATACCTTTGAACTATCGATTTTGGTACGAAAATACCCTTTTGTTATCCTTTTGGCTCTAAAATGCCCCTGACGTCAACCTATTGACTCTAAACTACCCTTATTTTTAGCAGTCCACTTTGAAAACAAAATTAAAAAAATCATTTATTATGTGGCACATTTGTATTGGCTATTATTTAAATTAACCTAATTAGTTAATCTCAATTCAAATCCGGATCCACCCAATAATCCATACTCGTTCCCCTAAAAGCAGCTTTAAATCAAGAAATTAGCTTTTATAATTTGATTACTTACTTTTGAAAATTTCAAGATTGAAGATTATCGAAGAAAAAGCTTCTCAAGAAATTGAAGATAATCAAAACAATTGGGTATTTGAAGTTAGAAAAAATTCTATGTTCAAATGCATCATATGGGTTTATCCTAAATTCACCACCACCAAAATCAAATTCTCAATTTCACACTCGCTCTTCATTAACTCCAATCCAAAGTCTATGAAGATCACCAGAAGAATGTTCAGAGCACAAGATTAATAAGCTGACATCATATTGATGTTTCTTAGTTTATGAAGGACCTTGAAGATTAAGAAATGGAGATCGAACACAAAATCGAATGATAAGTAGAACATAAGACCTGTTACAAAGATAAAAATGTATGAACTTTGAGAGAAAATTTCAAAATTTCAACTCATTCGAGCCAAAAAATGAGACTTCCGATGAAATTTTTACCCTTTTTTTTTTCTTCAAAATTTGGGCGCTAGATTTGGATTTGATCGGGTACCCTTTTTACCCAAATCTTATTGTTGCATTTCAAGAAGAAGACGTAAAACTCAAGAAGAGAGAAAAGTCAAGATTGAAGAGAAGACTTTATACCACTGGAAAAAAAAGGAAAAATGAAGAAGATGAAGATAGGGTACCACCTTTAGGGAGGTATGGGTTATTGGGTGGATCCACATCCTGAATTGAGATTAATTAATTAGGTTAATTTTAATAATAGCTAATAGAAACGTGCCACGTAATAAATGAATTTCTTAATTTTGTTTTTAAAGTGGGCCGTTAAAAATAAGGGTAGTTTAGAGCCAGTAGATTGACGTTGGGGGAATTTTTGAGCCAAAAGGTTAATGAAGGGTATTTTTGTACCAAATTCAATAGTTCAAGGGTATTTTAGGCCCTTTTCCGATTCTTATATTGTACACAAACACATCTTCTAGATATTATTTGTGTTATTTTTAAAAATCTATTCTTATCAATACGAGGGATACGCGCGAGACGCGTATATTAGGACTAGTTACAAAAAGGAAAAACTCAAAAAGGTTAGTGAATTGATTGCAAATTTGCAATATGGCATCCTCGAAATCTGCAAACAACACGTGGCTTCTATTTCATTTCGGAGGAACACACTTCCTCTCATTTGTTCCGCCTTTCTTCCTTTTTCCTCTCATTTATTCCGCTTTCCTTCCTTCGTCCTCTCATTTATTCCACCTTTCTTCCTCTTCATTTTCTCCGCCTTTCTTCCTCTTAATTTTCTCCGCCTTTCTTCCTCTTCATTTTCTCCGCCTTTCTTCCTCTTTAACTTTCTCCACCTTTCTTCCTTCTTCCTCTTCATTTTCTCTGCCTTTCTCCTTCTTCCTCCTCATTTTCTCAGCCTTTCTTCCTTCTTCCTCTTCATTTTCTCCACCTTTCTTCCTTCTTTCTCTTCATTTTCTCCACCTTTCTTCCTTCTTCCTTCTTCCTCTTCCTCTTCCTCTTCATTCTCTTCTGAAGCCCTAAAATGGAGCATCCTTTCTTCATCAACAGTGGCCTTCCAATCAATCGATCAGAAGCTTTACGTTTTCTATCAATCGCTGAAAATCTCTTATCAAATCGTGATCTAGTTGGTAGCAAGTCATTCGCGACCTGGGCCCGTGAATCCGACCCGACATTTGCACCTGTTGCCGACCAAATACTCGGCATCGTTGATACTTTGAATGCCGGCGACAAACGTATTAACAATCATTTTGACTACTACTCTATCCTCCAAATCCCTCCTAACCAAACCCAAAATGCCGATTTCATCGCCGAACAGTATCGCCAGTTTAATCTTCTTATGAATCCTCAGAGCAACAATTTCCCATTTTCTGATCAGGCTTTCCGTCTTGTCGTTGATGCATTCACAGTTCTTTCTGACCCCTTGAGAAAAAGTATGTATGATAAGGAGCTGGGTTTCCTCCTTAACCCTTACCCAGTTGTTACTTCTACACCTACCCCTGTGCATCAGAGTGTTTATCCTTCAATGCCCAGTTCGAATGCAGACCAAATGTTTGAGAATTTGTTTACTCAAGATCAAGGGTCACATGCTGCTGGAGTAAGCTTCAGTAGAGACCCACAAGCTGGATTTTCTATGCCAGTGACATTTCTGACTCATGAACAAGAAACTGTGATCTCTATGGAAAGCTTGCCCATTGAGCAGCAACTGCAACAATCTGAAACGTTTCTGAAACAACAGACACAACCCGTGACTCCCATTTCATTTTTAAACACAGATGAACAACCTATCTCATTCTTTTCTTTGAACCAACCACAGCTGGTAACCTCTGTGAGAAGCTTAAATAGAGAAAACCCACCATTTGGTACCGAGGTGAGCTCGACACAAGGGCGAGAACCAGTGGTTTGTGCAGAGCAATGTGGGAGTCAACAGCCCCTGGAGAAAAATGAGAATGTGGTTGGGAACAATGCAAATAAGTCTGCAAGTACTGGTGATAATGTGAAGGAGAAAGAAGGGAATGTAGATGCATCAGGTAAGAGTATACCCAGTTTCTGGACTGCATGTCCTTACTGTCTCTTTATGTATGAGTATTCTGTGGATTATACTCATTGTACTTTAAGGTGTCAAAATTGTAAGAAGGCTTTTCAAGCTGTACCAATTGCGTCTCCTCCTCCAATTATTGATGGAAAAAAAAATAGCTTTTGTTGTTGGGGATTTATGCCTTTTGGATCGTCTTTGGAGGATTTTCATAAAAATATAGATAATGCTTCGAGCTGGTCTCCGTTTTCGCCCATGTTTACCTGTTCGCGATTTGGGTGGGATGGAGGGAGTAATGTGAACAATCATGCTGGTGGAGGACAGAGTAATGTGAATAATCTTGGTAGTTCGCATAATGCTGGCGGATCGAAAAGTGGGGGTGGACGAAAGCATTTTTCTCCAGTAATATGTATTGATGATGATGTGTTAGTAGAGGCATCACAGTCAAGCGAGGAGTCAAGTGTGGATTGGAATCGGAATAAGGAAAGGAAGAAAGCAAAGAATGGGAAGCGAAAGTGTGCAAGGACTGGAACCCCAAGCAAAAATGCCAAGAAACAGCAAGCTGATAAGGAAAAAACTGTTGAAGGGAATAATGATGTCAATTTGCAATATGGTTTAGCAACTCAAGGTGGCGTAGAAATACCCATGCTGTAACAGTTGAGTCAAGTAACAGAGGTGTCGTAAGTAAGGCAATAAGGCACCTTGTTGGGTTGCAAAACACTTAGGAATTTGGATTTGAATGTGTAGTTCAGTAATGAGGTTGAAGAGCCTATAATTCAGATGGGCCAAGAAAATGAAGCAGGAGAGGGAGAGGATGATACTGTTGATGTAATTGGGTTTTTTGAAGGTCTTGATGAATTCCTTAGCAGTCTTCCTATACTTAATGCTGTGGATGGTGATAAGGTGGAGGCTGCCTGTTATCACTCCTTAGTCTCCACAGTTTACAGTAGTAGCTATTTGCTTGTAGCTCATTCTAGTAGTAGTTATATCTTTATTGTAGTTTGCAGTTTCTCATTCCAGTAATATTGGGAAGTAATGTCCTAGTTTCTAGGGGTAGTTATCTTATAAGTATTGTATTTGAACTCTATGTTTATCCTATGCAATCTAAGCAGAAAGTTGTTCCATTTTTTGAGTACTTTAACTCGAGATTGCAGGTTCTCTCTTAACGAACCAGCACCATAGATCTTAGGAAGAAAACAACAGATTTCATCTTGCAGCGTCCCATTACTAGATCCATAACAGGGGACTGTAACACTGCCTACTTCACTTCTTTGTTTGTAGTTGTTGCTTCAATTTTTGTCTTCTGGATGCTGTAGTTAAAAATGGTGTAGAATTACTCCGGCACTTGCGTTGATATTTCTATTGTAATGCCAATTTATTTTCTATTCTCTTCGGAAGTAGCTTCAGTAATCAGTTTACTGCTTCTATCTCCATGCTCCTTGAGTAATCTTATTATTAGTAATCATAATTTTCTTTATATTGCTTAGTTCTTCCATTCTAGTAAGTTCATCTTTTCATTTTTAAGAGATGAAATGGGGCTATCATGGCCTCATTTTCGCACTATCTGATCATTGCAAAAAAAAAGTTTAATTGCAACTCGAACTCTTCTGTCCCTTGTTACAGGATGTCACATCAATATTTTCAACATCTGTAAAATTTATCTGTCTGGAATGATCTGAAATGCTAAGCACCAATTTAGCACAATAGTCTAGTTTCAAAATTTAGCTCAATACTCTCATTTGAGTGTACTCTTTTTTTAAATATTCATGTTTTGTTTTTGATGTGATTGGTTGCTTTGTTTTGGATCTCCCATTTATTTGTGATGATGTGTCCATGTTTGATGTTGCTGGTTTTTGATGTTTCTTTTTCATATTCCTAAATGAAAAATGTAGATATTAATTTTTCATGAGAATCATCACTTTTTCGGAATAATTTCACTTTATTTCAAAATCAATGTTTGGTTATAAATTTCCAAATTCAACTTGGAGTTGGATTCCAAATTTGGAATAGTGCTCCAAACCTATTTTCCAACTCTTATCTTCATAAATTTCACAAAAAAGGTGCTCTAAGCCGTCCTTTGTAAAAAGTATAACCAAACATAACTCCCATCTTCATAAATTCCAATAAAGTGAAAAATCTTTGGAATCTATGGCCAAATGCCTACTAAATTACAATTCAAAACTAATCCATGAATCATAGTCATAGAGATAAAGATTTCAATAACATCAGTCGCGGGTTTGATCCCTATATCAAGCAAATTAAGCCTACAATTAGGATTGGTTCTTTCAAGTGCTGATGATCGAGTCTTGAGCTATGATGAGATGGAGATAGTGGAAGTAGTTTCTGATCAGGTGGCTGCTTTGTCCTATGCAACTGTTCTTGATGAGTCTCATACCATGGGGGAGAAAAGTAGAATTGAGAAATTGTGTGCTGCAGCAGGCTAAAGACTAAATAGAATGCTACGAAGGCAAGCCATACAAGGACTTCGTTTCAGAAGGTAATGAACAATGGAATGCGGCAGCCGATGCACTCAATTTTGTGTTTGCTCTCCATATTTCAAGATGAGAAAGCAAGCTTTGACCAGAAGATTTTTGTAAACACAATGGTGAAAACACACACTTTTCTCTCCATATTGACAAATGTTGTGATAGCAATATCTTCCAAAGATGATGGAATGTTTCCAGTAGAAATGAGTCACTTTCAGTTACATTTACCGGTCAGGGAGACTTCTTGTCTTGTTAAGTGCTTTTGTATCTATAAGGGCTTTGGATTTTCTACAGGTGTTCTTACTTCTTTACCTAATCAGGTGATGGGCGATGAGAAGAGAACATTTTAGGTTTTGTTACATATGGTAGGACATCTGTTAAATGTCAGCATTAGAAAGGGCTCTGTTATATTTGGAGTGGTTTTAGAGACTGGAGCAGTTTGGGGTACAAGAAAATTATGCACAACAGATGAATATGTGACCATATAATTATATATTGAGGTTAGTTTTGAAGGCTTTCAATCAGATAGTTCAATCTCCACCATTCATTTTTGTGGAAGAAGGCGTAACATCAGGGAGGTGATGGAGGGCTGGAGTTTCAGCATTTGCAAAAAGATTTTTCAGGTTAGAATACATGCTGTTGTTTTCCTGATTGACCTTGTCAGTATGTTCTCATTTAAATTAGTTTATATAGCTAACAAGTATCTATTGATGATTGTAGATCTTGATCATGTATAAGTACTGTTCATGGCTTGTGTGATATACATACATGCTGCCATGTAGGTCTGCGTGTAGGTATTGATTAGGGAATGGCAGAGTTTGGGTCAAACTGAAATTCAATTTGTTTGGATTTTCGGATTCCGATTGGATTTTGGATTTAACTTCTAAAATATTCAGATTTTCGATTTCTGACTTTGGATTTTCAGATCTGAAAATCTAATTTGTTTTTATACCTTATATTTATCCTTATATATTAGACAAGCCCATGTACCTAATATTAAGTCCAATACCCTACTAAATCAGTCAATGTACCTTATTAGGCTAATGGATAGTGCAAACTGAGGTTTATTCACCGTGACTGTGTTTTCCATTCTTATTTGACGAGTTGTGGGTTTTGGCACTGGGTCCTTATGGAAGCATATTAATTGATATTTAAATCACATAGAACATATAAGGATTGAGTAATGTTGAATTGAATATGAACTGTTAGTAGTATGATCTATCTATGCATGATTTTACTTTGTTTATATTAGAAATTTCTTTTATAATGGTTTCATTGTTTGAATGAATATTTTATTTGGATGATTGTCGTGTGAATGAGAAATTATTAAGACAATTTGACATGAATATTTTACTAGGATGTTTATTTTTGCAAGAAGAAGAAACTCCACTTACAATCTCAACACCAAAAATCTGAAATAATCAAATAGATTAATCTGAAACCGGACTTACGCAAACTGATCAATCGGACTTATTTGGATTGGAATTGGATATTAATTTCTTAAATCCGAAAATTGAAAATCCAAACCAAAGTCTTCGTATCCAATCCGAACTGCCCGAACACCCACCCCTAGTATGGACTATGACTTTACTTGGAGATTCAGGGGTAAAGCTGAGCTGCATGCTACATTTGTAGTGGTAGAGGAAAATAGTAAAGTGAGTTCGTCTAACCTTAACTGATAAAAAGAGAAGGTAAAGTGAGTTTGTGTGGAAGTAGTTCAACGTGGAGAATGCACATCATAAATCTATCTTTTGATTGTTTAAGAAATTTGAGACGTGCAAATGATGCATAAGATGTGATGATTCGTAGAAGTGTGTCAAACAGAATGACATTTTTTTTAATGTTTATTGTAAATGTTGTCCCAAGGTTGCCACAAATGCCACACTAAGTCAAAAACGTTGAGTTGATTGTGAAGAATTGCTCTACTACCTTGGGGTTCAGGTTACTGGTATGATCAGGAGATGGTTCTTTAATTACTGTTCATCTGTAAATCTTTAGGTAAAGAGGTTTCTAGGATGCAATATGATGGAATGTGTTGGTTTTAAAAGAGAAGAAATATCTGGAAAAGAATAAAAAATACTAAAGGGATGAAAAGCAAGAAAGAAAGCTTATGAACTGAAGTTGAAAGATTGATTTATTTTCACTGCAGTCTAAGGATACAATTTGTAATAAAAATACTCACATCTAAATTTAAAAATAAGCAAAAAGATCTGCTGAAAATACCAAATTCCTAAAGTCTAGAAATTTACTCAAAATTCAAATAGAAATCAACTCCTAATTAAAAGGGATAACTAGTTGACTAGGTCTATCTTAATAAATTACTGCACTAAAAACTTTGCAATTCTAAAGTAAATAGTCAACACTCCTTGCTTTAGGAGCTGCAAAATTTTGGTCTTCTATCTTGGGATCTCCACACTTGATAACTGAAAGTGACTGTGAATAAATGTGCAGATTCATCTTTGGCCTTGTACTGAACTAAATTCACTTCTCGTCTTGAATGCAACCCTTGACTACTAAATCTTTTTGGCATGTCTTCCTACTTCCTTTGCATCTTGAATTTAAACTTACCCATTTTATTTTCATGAAACATAGATAACTCCTCCATTGCTTCAATTTCTTTGGGAACATTGAAAGATCCTTTAAACTTAGCTGGTTCACATTTTGCTTGTGCTTTTCATATGGAGGATCATCTTCTAATTTTTTCAGCCTATGATCTTTCATGTTCTACAGGAACATATTTCATTGGATCAAATGAGAAATGTCTACCTATCATCTTGCTGTTTAAAACTTTTTTTTCAACACCATCATTGATGAAAATGTTTATCCTCAAAGGATACTTTGTATCCTATATCTATCAACTTACAAATACTCAACAAATTCTGATCAATATCTACATAAGAACATCTGAAATTGCCTTATTACATGAACTTGTTTTGATGACAACCGTTCCTTTTCCTTCAACAAGAATCTGGTCACTGTTTTTGGATATTTCAGTAGGCTTTAATTTTTTAAACACACTCTTGTCATAAGTCATGTAGTTGGTGCAACTGCTATCAATCTACCAAAAATTTGATGAAATCTTACTTGAGATACATGTTGCAACAAAAAGATTGTCTTCTTCTTTTTCTTCATTGACCACACATGCATTTGCTTCATGGTTCTCAAATTTGTTTTCGCAAATCACTGCTTCATAGCCTAGTTGATTGTACTTGCTGCATTCGCGTCTGGCCTTCTCCAACATCTGTATGGTGGATGATTCATTTTTCCACAATGCTCACAAGGTGGGTAATTTTTCAAATTTTTACTCCTGCTTTGAGTTTTATGGCTGACTGCTAAGGCTCCTTCAACCATACCATCTTGCCTCACAGTCTCTTTGCTCCTGTGCCGGAAAAGAATTTAACAACTCTGCCAAGGTAATGTTGGACAGATCTTCGTGTATTTTCCAAGGTAGTTAATTATACATGCTTCATATCTTTCAGGTGTGTAACAGAAATTTTTTCAACAATTCTTGAATCTTTAAATTCAGTGCCTAGTAATCTTACCTTGTTAACAATGCCAAGCAATTTTTCCGAGTATTCCTTGACTATCTCAGAGTCTTTCATTCTCTGCAACTCATACTCTCTTATTTAATTCAATACTTGCATTCCTTGAATTCTTTCATCTCCAGCATATTCTTTCCGGTTAATCATTTCTTTTGGTGATGTGAGGGACATAATCTTGTGAAAATAGTTGTTGAAACAGCAGCAAATGGAGTTGCTTTCGCATTATTTGGCAGCGAATTGTCAACTAAGGCTTGGACTGATGGAAATAAATCACCTGGTGTTTTTGCTTCCACTGGGTTTTGCACACGAGACCTCGTGGCTCTCAACCCACTTCATGGACCACTAGGCCATACCCTTGAATGCAAAAGATGTACACTAGATGTTAGTTAGCTTCATTTTAGTTCCTAATGTGAAACTAGATACAAGCATCTTCATGCAAAAAGTCACTGGATAGATATGTAGCGCTCACATCTGCTTGCATCAGATGTGGTGTGAGAGGGAGAGAGAGAAAGGGGTGGAGGATTTGCTATATATGAGAATGAAAGATGTGCTCGTAAGGATGCAGCTAAAGATGTTGCCTTCATTTATCTGGTTTGTGGCAGTGACCTTGTATCTCTTTGCTGGTTTGTGGCAGTGACCTTGTACTCTTAAACTAAATCCAAAGTGAGCAGGGAAAGTTCAGGATGTCTTCTTTGGGTCAAAAAGGTTCTGGATTTCTTCTCTTGAAAATGATATTAGCAGAACTTAAATGGAACTCCTGCATGTGCCTTGAGCAAATGACACATGTTTTAGAGCATTAATGGGTGATAGAGGGAACCCCGTACTTGTAAGTTGTAGGTATATGTTAAATTAGCTAAATAGGAAGGTTGAAGAAGAAAATTCACTGGTTGAGCTTCTGAGAGATCAATTTTCTGTCTAGTTTTTTTTTTTTGAGGAACAGGTAACTTTTTTTTAAATTTTTTTAAGCCATCACCTTTACAGCTTAAAGCTATTAGGTGTGGGGGGGTTTGGCGAGGAACAGGTAACTGATTTTCTGTCTAGGTTTAATGTGACAAAAATAGTAGTCTCTGACTATGAACAGGTGCTATACTACTTTTAGATACTCAAATAATACATTACTCATCATGTGTTTCAGATATTTACCATCACTCCCTCTTTATCATATATAACTTCCAATGCAATTGGTACTCCTTTCAGCCTTGGGCTTCTGCAGACAGCACTGCTACATGTTGTCCTTTACCTTCTTATTCTTAACATTGGGAACTTTTGGGATTTAAGTTGTATTTGCTCTCACTGAATGAACCTTCATAAGAACTGTGTAAAATAAAGGAGTGCATTCAGTATGACTCCATGCTCTCTGTCAAGGCAACACCCTGTAAACAAATCGGATCTGTCGATTGTTCAAGATGATTGTTTTCATGGTGTGACTACAGAACATATGATTTTGAAATTATAACATCCATGTTTTTCAATGTAAAGTTGTGAATGTCATTGTTGCCTGCTTTTGTTTATTTAACTGCCCCCTACCATGGCTGCAGCTAGTGTGAACATGGGACCCGCCATTTTTTCCCTTTGGTAAGAATTTCATCCTTAGAATTGATGATTTCTCTTGATTTTTGTTGTATTATTGTATAAAGTTTTTAGATGCTGCCTATGATGTTAATAAATAATCCAAACAAGAAGACTATTTTGTCTTTAGTTTCCTTGCCATTGCTATTTGATATGGTAAATTGGTTAGTGAAAGTAATGAAATAATAGCCTGGTTACCATATTGCTTACTCTGACCTGTATTTTTTTTTTTTTTGCATAAAATTTTCGGATGATAGGGAAATATATGGATGTCCACGAATGCCCAGGGCCACGTGCAAGTGATGACACTCATTCTGAGATTTCAAAAAGAGTCATCTTTTAGGAAACACATGTTTGAATATAGAAACCCTTTGGAGCAACCAATTTCCGTCACAATGTTCAGAAGCTTTCGTGTAGTCCTTGCTGATGATAACAACAAGAAGACACTGAATGATGTAAATAGACTGGTAACCAGAAAGTGTATCAACTGGTTTTCAGTGCCTGAGTGCTCTAGGCCCTGTACTAACAACCTTTCAAGTTGTCAGCTTGGGATCTTCAAATGCCAGAAATGGGTGGATTTGAAGTGGCATTGAGGGTGCATAAGTTCCGAAGCCGTAGTTGGCCATTGATCATAGCCCTGACTGCTAGTTCAGAGGAACAAGTATGGTATCTGCCTACATGTGGGAATGGATGGTCTAACAAGGAAACATGTTCTCCTACATGGCTTAGCCGATGAACTTCAACGACTCCTTCAAAGGGGTGTATGGTGATGATGGCTTGTGAGGTGTAGTACTAGTGGTGAAAAACAAACTTAAGAAGGGTCCTAAACACCATAATATCATACACCTTTATGGAGATTGCATTACATCTTTGTTTGATGAAACCAGCTTCTTACTAACATAGGTCTGCTTGCAATTTAGTTCTCCTCATATGTTGAAGTGAAATATGTCAAGCTAGTGGTATGGGTTCCATCATTTTTTCCCCCAAGAAACCTTGTGGAACTCTCAAGCTTGAATATTGCACCTGTCACATTGTTAGTTTTGGTTACATAGTAAACTTGACTAGTCCTTTTCTATAACCATGGTGTTCGGGCCAACATGTGCTTACTTCGACTAGTCCACCGAGTACCTATTACCTCCTCCATCAAACATGTGTTGTGTAACTTCCAACCAAATATACTTTTAGTTCTCGATTTATTGGCCCTTTCGAAATTGTCGAGAAGATTGAGAAAGTAATTTATGAACTGAACTTGTCACCTGAGATGGATAGAAATGACATATAAAAAAAGTAGAGAGAATTAGCTTGGATTTATAAGTATTACCGAAACTAAGATCCTCATTAAGACAATTCAAAATATATAAAGAAGTAAACACGTGAAGAAATCAAGAGAATTTTACATTTAATATTAATCTCTTTCGTGATCACTTGAAACACGGATTATTTCACCATTATATATATAACTACAATTTTAACTTTGTATGCAATTTAATTTTCTTTCACATAGGCCACTTTGAGCCATGCTAAACGATTTACGTTGAGAAGGATAAAGAAACGAACCCATCATCTCCGAGTCTCAAAAGTTGAGCTCAGTCCTAAAGATTGGTACCTAACAAATTTCTCTGTAAACAATGATTTCAATCTCCTGAACATCATAGTAACTCAATTTTTGGTAGATTATAAACTCATACATTAAACAAGAAAGAGTAAAAAATACCTTTCAACATTTGTAACTAAAGACAAGATTTTTGATCCTTTTCTATTTAAATTTTAATCCAACTTTAATATATCGATAATCTCTCAAGTTTGTCATAAAATTTTATTCAACCACTTTAATTATTATGTGTCTTAGTCAAAAACACGGTGATATGTGCGTGCGACACTTTTTTGGCCGAATTTTTTTTGGGTGATCGTGGCGACCTATTTAACGACGTGTATCGGTTCGAAGAGGTAAACGTAGATTTTTTTTTCAAGTTCAAACAAGACTCAAAACAAACACAATGACAATGTTTTTATGAGTGTGTTGTCAAGTGCCAATTACATAGCAAGGTAACAAAAATATGTCCCTTTTTACACTCGGTTTGAATCATTGTTACCCATTGTTTCATAATGTATTGTATTGTACTCTATTGTACTGTACTGTACTATATGGTAAATACAATGTTTGGCTAGACTGTATTGTTTGTTGTTGTTTAATAACATTTTTATTGTTTGGTTTAACTGTATCGTACTGTATTATAATATATAAATTTACTAAAATATCCTTAATTGTTCTAGGGTAGAAGGTTTGACTAGAATTAAATAATATAGGATAAAGGGTAAAAACATATTATGAAATATTATGCCATGATATAATTGGAAAAAGAAATTAAGTAACAGTGGGAACACACCAAATCGATTGTTCCATAAAATGGGGGTTTTTATTGTTACGTAACGACAAAATTTAACACTGTATTGTATTGTATTCTATTGTATTGTACTGTATGGTAGATACAATGTATATATTGTTTGTTGTTGTTTAATAGCATTTTTATTGTTTGGTTTGACTGTATCGTACTGTATTATAATTTATAAATTTACTAAAATATCCTTAATTATTCTAAGGTAGAAGGTTTGACTAGAAATAAATAATATAGGGTAAAGGGTAAAAAAGTATTATGAAATATTATGCCATGATATAATTGGGAAAAAAAAATTAAGTAACAATGGGAACAGACCAAATCGATTATTCCATAAAATGAGGATTTTCATTATTACGTAACAACAAAATTTAATAATATAATATAATACATTTTAAGTAACAATCAAAACATACATTGTAAGTATGATAACAATATAATACAATACAATAAGTAATAATAATCCAAACACCGTGTTAATTATACACATTCATCTCAATGAGTCATATATTCTGACCCCCAACCCACAAACGTAAAAGAGAGGATTTTGAGAAGTTTGAGAGAGGAGGAGGAGTCATGGGAGAAGAAATTATGGCAGCGGCAAACTACTATTCGAAGGACTTTGAATGGGATCAACTTCGGCAAGAGATCGAAAATAATCCTTCTCTTGCTCACCATTTACTTCCTTTTCCTAATTCTTCTATCACCCAAAATCAACATACCCTTTTGTCTTCTCCACTTTCTTTATGTTCTCCGCAGGAAGATTCTGAAGCATGGAACAACTTCCACACTCGCCATTCCACTGGCAAATTCTTCAAGGTAAGTAATAATTTACTGTTGATGTTGATAGTGTTGACTTGAGCTTGTATTTGTGTATTTTGTTTCTTCCATTGGTTATGTGTGTGAATTTTATTTAGTGGGGTTGCTTAGAAAAGTGGCAGAAACCTGGGATTTACCTGAAAGATTTGAACTTTAGTAATTTTAATGGAAAATGATTGCTTGTTACGCATAGGGGGATTCAAGATTTGAAGTTTATGGATTCTATAGCAACCTCGAGTTAATATGCAATAATAACTAGGTTCACAATCAAATATTTAAATATATATATGAAGTTTGAACAAAAGCTACTGGTTTCTGTGAACCCGCCCACAACTAGCACTCTGGATCGGCATCATTAGTTAAATGTGAAATACTAGTAGCCATATATGTGGTGAACTTGGAGTGATGTCAAAAGAAATTTGAAGGCTTGACAAAAGTGTGTGTGGTAGTACCAAACAAACTATGGAACCGTCTGATGACTGAGAACTCGCACCTTGGGCTTCACATTGGATTGTTAGATAGCTGATTCAGTCTCAAGGTTTGCTTCCAATTCTAAGATCTTGTGCATTGTGTCTCAAATGTACACTTGTGAACTTTGAAACTCATAAAATTTCCGGTTGGAGGATACAGTTGTAAAAATCTTTGTACTTGAAGGATTATTTATACTGTGTACTTTTACTGAGGTTGGAGGATACAGTGTGCAAGGTTCTTCTCAAGATAGTATTCTGTGCACAATTTGTTGGCCCAGATTCTCTGTACCAGAGCCTATGTTTGTGCACTTACTCAGTTCTGTAGGCGAGGTCTATTAATTGATCCAACACTTAAGATCTTTATTGCTGAGGTCGTTGGTCTATGATCCTTCTCTTTTTCTTCTTCTTTTGATATGTAAGGTTCATGATCTTTGAGCTCATGGGTTTGCTATTTTTAGTATTGTCTTTACTAAAAATAGTATGGAACGGATCTAGGATTTCAAGTTCATGGGTGCACCACTAAGGAAAGAGAAAAATAATGTATTAAGCGAGAATTGATCCTTGTTCCTTGAGATAAATAACTCAACATTCAATCAAGTGCACCATTTAGCCCTTTTGGAGCATGTGTGCCAACACACAATATTAGATTAATTCTAGAAAATATGTACATAAAATACCGAGTTTGGTGGATAGACCATAGTTCACGTGCACCACTATTTCTAGAGTATATCTGTCCCTGCTTCAAGGTTTTATGATTGGATCAAGATTTGAAATCTATCCTTCTCTATCTAACTCAGTTGTCCTTTGTAGTACATACATCGAACATACGCTAGTATAATTCCTCGGTGGCAGATGAGGACCTAGGCAGGAAATAGATAAAGTGTAGAGCTTCTCATAAGAAAACTTGTGTACATTAAAGAGCAAAGTATTGCATTTTCAGGAAATCCAATATGAAGAAATTTACTCAACCTAATTCTGAAATATGATCATGGTTATCCAAGCATAGCTCATTTGCCAAGATATGCACCACGAAACCCTAATTTCAGGCTCATAACATGAGTGGCTAGTGTTAGTATTTTTATAACCAGAATCTTGTGCCTCAAGACTTGAAGATTCGAACCTTGCTCCTAAAGGCAGTTGAGATTGGATCCATTGACATCTGGTTTAGCCACTAGGACTTGCTTTTAATCCCAGGGACCTCGTATCTCGTACCTTGAACCTATGATTATAAAAGATTCTCCGAGTTGCCGTGGGAATAAACTTTGAAGCATAACTCAGATAAGGACTTAGGTAGGAGTAAGTTAGAGGATGGACTTACGGAGATAGTTTCATATGAGAAGGTGTATACTACAATTTACAATACCATCTTAACAGAGAGCTTGCTTCAGAGCTACTATGGAGAGATTGAGTTATTGTAGGAATGCTCTTCTAGAGATAGATAACACCCTATCCAAGGATGATGCTCATAGTATGCTTTGTCATCTAAGTCTAATCAGCCCAAAAGTTGTGTGAATTGGATTGCGATTTTGAATCCACAAGTGAATCAGACATACTTAGCTATAAACTCCGCTACTATAAACTCCCACTTTCATACGTAGAGAAGTTTCTAAATTTGGAAGCAGTTTAAAAGTTGATCGTTGTAACACAATAGCTGAAGTTGACCATGGAGCTCGAAAAAGCTCCATATTTTTCATTTTCTCTTGACTATGCGCTCCACTGCCTATACCAACCTTTTACAACCATCTTTGTTCATTCCTCTCTCTCTTGGGTGTATAGCCATGCTAGAGCTCATCTCCAGAGTTTTGAGGTTCACTTTTCTTCTGTATCCAACAGATTCATCCCCTATGAATCTCATCCCAATATTTGAACCTCAGAGTTCATTGAAAGCACTTATACCTTTAATATTGAGATCCTGGCAAATTCTAGTTGTCTTCTACAAAGTCTAACATTATTCATCACATAAACTTCAACTACTATGTATGTATTGGTATGAAAAACTATGAATTGAGAGGTATGATATGAGAGGAGTGTTATGAGGAGCTATGACATGAAAGATATGATATGAGGAGCTATAGAAAAAGCGGTAATACACAACACTAAGGACAAAGAGGTACAATAGGAAGCTTAGAGTAAAAGCTCTAATATGGAAACGAAGACAAGGAAACTAAGGTATGAAACTGCATGCTAGACTAAGGAAGTGAAACACTAGAAGGGAAAGTGTCATACTTGAAGGAAGACCCAAGAGCTCAATCCCATGACCTCTAGGGGATGTGTGAATGACCAAACTATGACCTTCTTCTCACTCTTATATGGGATGGTCTTGGCGTTATGGAATCGTTTCGTATATTACAGCCATGATTTGTAATTTCAAGTAAAGATCCAAGAAAGTACTCATACCAATTTATCGTATTACTTCCACATTTAGAAGTTTCTTCACATTTTGATATTGGGGCTTTTCATCAGTACTAGATTTGAGGTTGGACTATGGTTAGCTCCATGGGTTTAAGATTGTGGTCCCACTTAACTCAATGATTCAAATCTCAAGTTTTGGACCGTTAAGATGACCTAGTTCAGAAAACATAAGTAGATGTACAAATCTAGGGTTGAAGTTGCCTATCTTGGCCAACAAGCTACACTTTAACGGTCGGCATTGTATCACTTGTAGAACATTTCTCTCCCAAGTCCCAGGCAAATCTCTCTACAACAGATCTCTAATAAAAGCATGATCTCTGCTCACAATGGTAGACAAATATGCTAATGTTTTCTCTTAGGAAGGTGTATATTCCCTCCCTTTCTCTTTCCAAGTCCTCCTTTGACTTGGGCAATAAAGCTTAATCCATGAGGCTACTTTGGAGTTGGGTGTCTTGTGAGTTTTACACATTATAAGTATGCATTTGAGGTCTAAGTTCCATGGTCAAGCTTTGGCAGCTGAGTTACCAGGGATTCAATCTCAAGTCCAGAGGTGCGATTTCCAAGACAACGAGTATGAAGGTTCTAGTTTCGAGTTTTGTGCTAATGAAAAGATTACTAGTGTTCATGTCTTAGATAATTAGCAAAGAATTGTACTTGGTAGATTTTTTGAGGAATCCTTTCTTATACAGTGGTGAAAAACTAGAAGGTGCTTAAGGAAAAAAACCTTGCTCTTTCCGATCATCAAAATGGAAAACAAGAGTGATGTTTTAAAATTTTTGGCTTCCGTCTGTCACAATTCTACGTTACAACTACTAGAATGTGGTACAACAATGATCCCTATGCTTTTGTATTATAAGAACGTATAGCAAGTTTAAGAAGATAATTTCTTGCTCAAAAGAGACGGAAGTGCAAGGTTTATTTTTCTCATATGTCAACTAGAATTCTGGAAGCATAGCGGGTGCCCTACGATGCTGGAACAAAGATGGCATGGTAAGTAAGGAGGAGGAGAGATGGAAGATTGTTCCGGGTTGTATTTGGTGGTCAGTCTGGATTGAGAGGAACAAGAGGTGTTTTGAATGAGTACAAAGCAGCTTACAGATTCTTAAGATGAATTGCTTAAGCCTATTTTATTTTTGGTGTGAGCAAAAATTATCTGCTCAAACAGAAGACGTTTTTGATGTTTTAGACTTTTTGTACGGACAACTTGAACCACAAGATGTAAGTTGTCGTACTTTTGTTGGGGAACTATACCTGTTGGTGTAGTATACCTGTGGATATATAGAAATAATGTTACCTTTCTAAAAAAAAATGTCAACTAGTATGTTAGAGTCCTTAAGGAGTTCATAGGAAAACAGCAACACTTTTGTATTTCTGATTGTAAGTATTACTGGAATACATCCTGAGTATTCCTGTGTTTATAATACAAGTTACCTTTTCAAAAAAAAAAAATGTCAACTAGAATGAGAGCTGAGGCATCTGCTCATTGCTATAACTTTTACTGTAAATCTCTACTTTTAAAATCTTCTATTATTGCTTCAAATGACATCATCATGTTATTGTCTTTCAAGACTAATGGTCATCATCTGCTTGTTTGGGTATTTATTTTTGGTTGCATATTTCAGTACTTTGATCTTATCGGCAGTTGCAATAAGAAGAGAAAGCCTTTCCTTGAACTGCTAGAAAAAACTATATTCCACTTTACATTCTTTCTTTAACAAAAGTTCTTTCATGTAGGAGCGTCGGTACTTGCTTAAGGAATTCCCAGAGCTAGCCTCTTGCGGGGGATGCTCGACAGTTTTGGAGATCGGATGTGGAAATGGTAGTACAGCTCTGGCAGTACTTCGGTGAGGAAGAACTTCAGTTTCCTTGAGTGACTTAATTAGTTAAACACTTTTAGGCTGAGGAAATTTACTACCAAAATTCTCTTTCTGTAAGGTGCATAATCATAAGCCACTAGTCCTATTATTACCTGCTGTTAGCTCTGATCCTTTGCTTCTGTTACCATGTTATTTGTTGTTGCCACTGTTATCTTTCTCCTTTATTTTTAGCATGGTTTCTTCATTACTGTATTTTCTTTCCATACTTGATTTTGATATGCTTTACTTGAGCCGAGGGTCTATCGGAAACAACCTCTCTACCTTCGCAGGGTAGGGATAGGGCTGCGTACACACCACTCTCCTTAGACCTCACTTGTGGGATTACACTTATGTTGTTGTTGTTGTCATATTTTGATATCTCATAATTAATCATATTGAGCGGAGCTATTTCTAAGTTTGTCATCTTATTCTTTTGTTAAACTTGGAAGCAACCACAAATTTCATGTCCAAACACAATATATGAGGCTTCTGTACTCAAACAGATGAGTAGAGTAGAATCACTACTTTCTATTCAATCTCACCTAGAAATAATACTGCTGATAGACTAGAAATAAGAAGCTAACATGAAATCAGAGTTTTATTGGTTTGGTGGTGATGTAGCTACTTGACTTTATTTAAGAGCAATGCTGAAGAATCTTCATTCTTTCTCTAAATTAAGTTCAGGTTTTATCTGTTTTCATCTCTTTGTTACAGCAAGGCTATCATATTTGTTCACTTGCTGATTGAGAATTTCAATGTTCTATGCGAAGATTCAGAACCGTAGTATTCTTAGCTCATTGTTGAAACTTTGCTTATCTTTTTAGTGGAAACAAGAGCATCTCTCTGTATGCCTGTGACTGCAGCAAAGAGGCTCTTGAGAGAGCTAAAGAGAATATTGAAGCTGCTGATATCAACTTGGCTAAAGAGCGTTTTTACCCATTCCAATGTGATTTTTCTGCTAGTGGATTTCCAAATTGGTTAGTCTGCACTTCTTGCCGTGAAAGTTCCTTCCAGAAGCAGAATATGTGCCCCTCAGGTCGGTAAATGTATCAATTCTTCATTTTATTGTATATGCAAACAGGTGTTTGTCTTAATTGAAGTGTTTTGCTCATGCAGGTGCAAGAGGCTGCAGCAAGCAAGATTTCCCTGATCCACCGATATTTGCCAAGAACAATAGCTGCATTGCCGGAGTAGATTTTGTTACCTTAGTATGTATATCCTTAATAAGTCTATAATCAAGGCTCATTTTTATTCACAGGTGTATTTGTTTCTACAAATATCAAATGTCTAAGTTCATGGATATTTCTTTCATAATCTGCCAGATATTTACTCTATCAGCAGTGCCACTTCACAGGATGTCAAGAGCAATCACAGAATGTTTCTCTGTTCTAAAGCCTGGAGGACTGTTGTTATTCAGGGATTATGGTAATAACCTGACCTATGTTTGTATCTTTTGAATGATGGAATCTGTTTAGTTCTTCTCCTTGTATCTGAATTCGGGGAATATGAACTCAGGTCTTTATGATATGACCATGCTTCGGTTCGAGCCAGAGCAAAGAGTAGGATACAGGGAGTACATACGTTCTGATAGAACAAGGTCTCACTTCTTTTGCTTGGATAGTGTTAGAGATCTCTTTTGCGGCTCAGGATTCACTGAGGTATTAGTTCCCATGAGCTACTTCCTGGAACTGCAGTCAAGAATTTTGATTCCATTACCAAAAAATGTAACATACTTATGGACCTTTTTGCAGCTTGAGCTTGAATATTGTTGTGTCCAGTCAGTAAATCGACGGAATGGGAAGATCATGCGAAGAGTATGGATTCATGGGAAGTTCCAGAAGCCACATGTCCAAGTAGGTCCATAACCCTGTGGTTTTGATGGGAGAAAGTGAGCTTGCAAGCAGCTAAATTAATGTTCCTTAAGCTTAAGAAACTGAAAAAAAAGATGACCATGTATTATTTATACCCTTAATCGTCCTCCAACAGAGCTAAATCAATGATGTGTAGAAGTGGCACTTTGTCTCGTGAATCATATGAAGTAGTGCTGTGATTATATGATGATATACAGAAAAGGATGAGCAAAAATTTGACAAGATGGTCATATTCTTTCTGTTGACTCCATCAGTTATCTTAAGCTTGGGGCTGTTTTAAGGTCAGTTTACACTATGATGGTGCAGTTTGGTTTGAGAAGCTTCTCAAGGGTGAATTATTGTTGTTCCTTTGGAAGAGAATTTAATTGTGAAGAGTCAACTTGAAGGCTGGAAGTAAATATGCATGTTGGCAATTAAACGTTTTTTTTTCCGTCATTATCAGACATTCAAAACTGTAATGTAGAATATATTGTCATGCTACATTTATCGTCTGACTGAATTGCTGAGCAGTTTTTTTCCTGCAATCATGCATGCCATCATACAATAGAGGAGGAAATTTTGAGGATTCATAAACCTGACCCAACTAGTTTAAGGCTTAGTAATTGTTGTATGTCATATCATTATTCACTTTGCAACAATAATTTTAGAACTAAAACATCACTTGCTAAGTTCTGGCTTTGCAGAACCAAAGTTGGTAAGTACAGTGACAGGCTGACAGCAAAGCTCTTGTGGGCCACTCATTATTTCTGAAGAATCTTGTTCTTCATGTCTTCTATGAATTGAGTGAGATTCTTCTCTGAAGACCCCTCATCAGAAAGTGCTTTCTGAAGGATCATCTTTGTTTTCTCTATATTTTTCCTCAATTCATCTGATTTACTCATTATCCTTCCAATATTCTCTGCTGCTACCTCCTTCCTGATTAATCTTCCAGTGCAAAGATTCACACCAATTCTCCAATCATCAACCACTAATTTCCTGTTAGTAAGTTGATCCGTCAAAATAGGAAAGCACACCATTGGAACTTTACACCATATGCTCTCCAAGATTGAGTTCCACCCACAGTGAGTCAAAAAACCCCCAACTGCTGGATGTGATAGTACTGCTAGTTGAGAGCACCATGGCACAACTAATCCTCTACCTGCAGTTTCTTCCTCAAATCCAAGAGGCAAAATGTTTCTTTCTTCAGAACCTAAGATATTGTGACGTAGCACCCAAATGAAACTCACCTTACTTATCAGAATGGCTTGTGCTATTTCCAGAATATCCTGTTTACTCAAATTAGCGAAACTACCAAATGAGATGTATAACACTGTACCGTCTTGTTTGCTATTGAGCCAGTTGGTGTAATCTGATACCGGTAGCAGGTTTGTTGAAATTGTTCTCTTGGTGAAGCTTGTGGGGAAGAGTGGCCCAATTGCATAGAAGGGCTGCTTCTTTTGCAAGGCCGAGATAGGTGAAGACTCTAGCTCTTGCACTGTATTACTGATGACAAAGTCTGCTTTCTGTGCATCTTCAAGACACTTGAACACAAAACGGTGCATCACGGTGCTTGGATCAGCATCTTGAAAATATGAAGGTAAATCTGTTGGTTCAATGGCTTGGACTCCAGGTATGTATGTAATGGTGTCTTCACACTTATCTGGACAAAATTATTATTCATCAGCTAATTGATTATGTAATGTAGGCTGTGATTAGACAGTAATAGCTTCAAGATATTTGGTTCATACCATGACACCCAAAGTGGCCATTACTCTTGAGCAGGTCCATGTGATAGTAGACTGTAAGCACTGTTGCTGGCTCAGTCCAAAATGAAACATTGACAAGATTATATTTCTCGGCAATCGTTGATCCCCATACGTGGAAACTATCAGCTATTATACAAGAAATTGGCGGGTTTGGTTTTGAGAGGACTAGATTTTCAATGAAGTCATCCACATGAGCTTGGAAAACATGAATGAGACCTTCCACAAACTGGCTTGCATTGGCACTCCAATCGAAACTCAGAGGAAAACCATCACTAATTTTGGCATATCGAATGTCAAGACCGCATTTCTGTCCGTGGGAGAAAGGGTTGTCGTCATCTTTAAGTGACTGAGCTTTAGCTATCTTCTGGTGAGTTGATTCTGTGTTGACAAAGGTGATGGTAAAACCTTTTGAGGCGAGCTTCATGGCGAGATGTGTGAATGGAGTTATATGGCCTTGAAGAGGAAGTGGTACGAGTACTGCATGTGGCTGTAGGTGTTCTTTTAGCTCCATTTAGTCCTAAAATATCGGAGATGGTTGCCTTTTTTGAGAAAGGTAAGTGTATTATTGTTAATATAGCACCAAGGAAGTGCAGGGAAAAAAGTATATAGGAGTTGGTTGTCTTGTGTGTTTATGTAAGAGCTTGGAAGGAGATGGTGGCCTTATGTTCTTTGATGCAGAAATGGTTATTGTCTAAGTTGGTGTCTGGCTGTCCTTATAGCTGCATTTATTTGAATTTGGGGCCTTTCATATGTCATCCCTTAGGTATTTAAAGATAATGAGATAGACATGTCTTTTGTCTGGTGTGAATCCCGGCTTGTGGCTCGCAGTTGTTTGTCTGTAAACACCGGGTTCTGTCCTATATTCATTTGTTTGATGTAAATACTCATTGCAGGTAAGTTTTTCCGGTTAGTCTATTCTTAAAGAAATAGGACTTGTTAGAGGTTGTTGTGTCATCATAGACATAGAGAAGTGTGCCTTTCCGATAATTGCCTTTGCATAATTGATTAATTGTATTGGTGTGGTTCCTTTCTTTCAAATTCAAACTTTTGTTCTTCTTCCTTTTCTTTATGTTGGGCTGGGAATAATATGTTATGTGAACAGTATAGTTTTGCTTGTAATTTCTTTTACCTAAGTCAGAGTAAGAAAAATTATCCACCTTTACCCATCTATAAAATTCGCCCTCAAGAAATTACACAACATAGTTTTTTTTACGTAAATCTTATCTCTACCTCGTAAGAGGTAGAAAGATTTTTTCCGAAATAAATAAGAAATAATAATCTTGGAAAAATGCACTGGGGAAAGAGATCGTGACTTATTTGTTTTCAAAAAAAGAGAGAAGATGATGGATTTGAATCCACACCAAAAAATGATTTAAATATCTTAGGGGAAAAGAAGACAATAAACACATTGATGTGGGAAATTATAAAAGTCCACACAACAAAACATTTGCTACAGACAAAATCGGATATGAACCATTCTAATAAGATTTCATTTTTAAACAAAAAATCATTTTTGATTTATTCACAATTTTGCTTTGCTATCCCATCTAGTGGTGTAGGATTACTAACACCACTTTCCAAGCTTAGATCTAACAATTAGAGCGTAAACAAGATAATATGGAAACTCAATATTGAATGAAAGAACAATTGAATTCATGCCAACATTAATGCACTCGAACCATCAAAACTTTAAAGTTAATCACACTTAGGCGAGAATAGTACTAGTAGTATTAGGAGGGTCACCCTCTAGGAAATTTCGTGTTGCTTGTTAAGATATATGATGTGTTTCCCTATATGGTCATTGACAATTCTCACCTTCTGAGTTAGCTTGGAATATTGATTTAAACCCAATTATTTTTTTCCATAGTATCAAAAGCAGATAAATATCTTGAATTCAAAATCTCATCACCACTAATCATCTAGTTCATGAAAAAAAAAAAACAAGCTTGCACTTGCTAAACATTGTCAATGTATCTTTTTCGTAATTTGTGTCTTTTGAATGATGGAATTTGCTTAGTTTTTCTCCTAGTATCTGAACTTGAGGAGTGTGAAACTCAGGTCTTTATGATATGACCATGCTTTGATTTGAGCTAGATCAAAGAGTAGGATAGAGGGAGTACATGTGTTCTGATAGAACAAGGTCTTACTTCTTTTACTCGGATAGTGTAAGATATGTCTTCACGACACATAGTTCACTGGGGTATTACTTCCCTTGGCTATTTTCTGGAATTATAGACACAAGTTGTGGTTCCATTACCAATAAAGTTTAACATATTTGTATCCAGTCCGTGAATGATGGAATGGGAAGATCACGCGAAGAGTGTGGATTCATGGAAAGTTCTTGTAAGTTCACGACACTTTGGTTTTGATGGGAGAAAGTAAAGGATGTGTGTTGTCAAATAAACTTTTCACCTTGTCATTGTCAGAGATTCTGGTTGTGAGGAGGATTCATATAACTGATCGCAACTTGTTTTGGACTGAGACGTAGTTGCTGTTGTCATTATCAGAAGTAGATATTTTACATGAGTTTACAAAACAATTATACTAACATGCTATATAGATGTAGATCTCTTGCAATTATGCCATGCCTTTATTCAACTGGTTCAAATGGAACAGGATAAATAGCGAGGATTCATATAGCTGACCAGACTAGTTTAAGGCATAATAATAGTAATTGTATGTTATGCCATTATTCACTCCGAAACATTATAGAACTAATACCTCACTTGCTAAGCTACTTCATGAAAAAAAAAAATTAAAACACATCACTTGCTATGTTCTGGCTTTGCAGAACCGTAATAGGTAAGTGAGAATGTGATAAGAAGCTCAATTTTTCTGAAGAATCTTGTTCTTCATGTCTTGTATGAATTGGTTGAGATTCTTCTCTGAAGATCCCTCATCAGAAAGTGCATTTTGAAGTATCATCTTTGTTTTATCGATATTCTCCCTCGATTCATCTGAGTTATTCATTATCTTTCCAATATTCTCCGCTACTACCTCCCTCCTGATCAATCCTCTAGTGCAAAGATTCACACCGATCCTCCAATCATCAACCACTAATTTCCTGTTAGTAAGTTGATCCCCCGAAACAGGAAAGCACACCATTGGAACTTTACACCATATACTCTCCAAGATTGAATTCCACCCACAGTGAGTCAGAAACCCTCTGACTGATGGATGTGATAGTATTGCTAGTTGAGAGCACCATGGCACAACCAATCCTCTCCCTGCTGTTTCTTCCTCAAATCCGAGAGGCAAAATGTTTCTTTCTCCGGATACTAAGATATTGTGACGTAGCACCAAAATGAAACTCACTTTACTTATCAGAATGCCTTGTGCTATTTCCAGAATATCCTGTTTACTTAAATTAACAAGACTACCAAATGAGATGTATAACACTGTACCATCTTGTTTGTTATTGAGCCAGTTGGTGTAATCTGTTGCCGGTAGCAGGTTCGTTGAAATTGTTTTCTTGGTAAAGTTTGTGGGACAGATTGGCCCAATTGCATAGAATGGTTGCTGCTCTTGTAAGGCCAAGATGGTTGAAGACTCTAGCTCTTGCACTGTATTACCAATGACAATGTCCGCTTTCTGTGCATCTTCAATACACTTGAACACGTATTTAGTCTCGTTTGGATCAGCATCTTGACAATATGAAGGTAAATCCTCTGGTTTAATGGCTTGAATTCCTGGTATGTAGCTAATGGTGTCATCGTACTTATCTGGACAAAAATGATAACTCATTAGCTAATTGGTTATGTATAATGTAATCAGAAATTAGACTGTATTAGTTTCTAGATAAAAGGTTCATACCATGTCGTCCAAAGTGGCTATTTCTCTTGAGCAGGTCGGTGTTATAGAAGACTGTAAGCACTGTTGCTGGTTCAGTCCAAAATGAGACATTGACGAGATTATATTTCTTGGCAATCGTTGATCCCCATACGTGGAAACTGTCAGTTATTATACAAGAAACTGGTGGATTTGGTTTCGAGAGGACTAGATTTTCAATGAAATCATCAACATGAGCTTGGAAAACATGAGTGAGACCTATCATGAACTGGCTCGCGTTGGCTCTCCTATCAAAACTCAGTGGAAAACCATCGCTGATTCTAGCATAACGAATGTCAAGACCAGATTCCTCTTCATGGGAGAAAGGGTTGTCGTCATCTTTAAGTGATTGAGCTTTAGCTATCCGCTGGTGAGTTGATTCTGTGTTGACAAAGGTGATGGTAAAACCTTTTGAGGCAAGTTTCATGGCAAGATGTGTGAAGGGATTTATATGGCCTTGAAGAGGAACTGGTATCAGTACTGCATGTGGCTGTATGTGTTCTTTTAGCTCCATTTTAGTCCTAAAATATAGCAGAATGTAGTTACTTTTTTTGTAGTATTAATATAGCACTTTGGAGTTTGGACTACATGCAAGAAGTATATAGGAGATGATTGATTATTTATATTAGTTCTTTAATGCAGAAGTGTGTTTAATTTGGTGTTCTGCTGTATAGCTGCACTTGTGTGAATTTTGGAGCCTCTTCTAGGCTACCTCTTAGGAATTTATGGGCCATTATGTCATGCAGGGCACGTGTCTTGCATTTATTTGTCTGATGTAAAACACCGGCTTGTGTCTTGCATTCGTTTTTGTCTGTGTGTAAAAACCGTCTTGTGTTCTGCATTCGTTTTTGTTTGTGTAAACACCAAGCTTGTGTGTCATATTTGTTTTTTTCGTGTAAACACTGACTTGTGTTTTGCATTCGTTTGGTTGATGTAAACACCGATTTGTGTTCTGGATTCGTTTAGTAAATATTTCCTCCATTTCAATTTTTTTGTCTTACTTTCCTTTTTAGTTCGTTTCAAAAAGAATGTCGGGATATAGATTAGGCTATAAGGAAAGGATGTCTCTTCCTTTTCTTGGCAACTCCTTAAGGTCGTTTGGTTGGGAATAAGTTATCCTCGGATTAATTATATATTGTGTGATAAGTTATCCCACCATGTATATGGGATAACTTATCCCATCACTATGGTATAAATTGTGGGATAAGTCATCTCAAACTTGACAACCAAACAAGACATCAAAATTTTATTCCTGGACTATTTTTTTATCTCAAGACTATTTATTTTTATCCCTCACACTAAAAGATCCCTTAATTCTAACTTTCCGCGTGACATGTTTAAGATCACTAGATTAAAGGATATCTTAGTACATTTTATATATCTTTAGTTTAAAATTACAAGACTTAAAAGTCTTCATTGCTTTCTTAAAATCAGACAAACAAATTGAAACGATGTAAATAATGTCTGATTTGTTTCTAGAAAAAAAACTACGTAATGTGAATGATTTTACAAAATACAACACTAACAAGGGGTGCCACCTTAAAAAATGGACTTCAAATATTTTAAAGAAAAGAAAACACATGATGATTTGGACAATTATAAAATTCTTATGATATAATTATTCATTTATTTGTACAAAGGAAGACTAGTCAACAAGAAATTAAGAATCAAGATCAAGATTTCTTGGACTGTTTTTTGAGGTTTAAGTAATCAACTAGAGCTTCAATCATTATAATATGAATGACATAATACATAAATGTGTTATTTAACTCGGCCTCATCGAAATGCATATGTCCTTCAATTTTAAGTATATACGAGTAGACTTGTAAAGAGGTACACACATATGTCCTACTTAATAATTCACATTTTACACGATATTTTACCTAACGTGAAACATAACACACTACAAAATCAATAATATCTTTTTATGAGTAATTATTATTTAGCTTTTGAGAGAGGAGGTCCGACTATCGACCCATTTTTTAACTTTGAAAATTTATGATGAAAATAGTAAAAACTTTATAAAAAGAAAATTGATGGTTATTGTAGGGTTTGCCAAAAGAAAAAAGAGTAGAAATCAACTCAAAAAATTAAAAAAGTTTTTTTTTTTTTTTAATATAACATGGCAAATGACAATTGATGTGTAGTTTGCACATGATTTCTTACAACTGAAAATGAAAATGATCGAAAAAGCAATACATGTGTTACTTTAATTAAAATGATTTTGTGGGATAATAGGACCCCGGAAACTTTAGATATCTACTTAATAAAAGGTAGGGGTGTCAAAAGAATATGAAAAACTGATCGAATCTAATCTAACTAAATCGAATTGATTTATGTTATTTTTTCAATAAAATCTTGGACTTTTATGTAAGTGTAAAACTGTCTTGAACAATTGGGATGGTCTTTTTAATATATGAAAAAACTGAAAAAAAATTTCTGAATTGAACGGAATAACCTTACATGTATGTAAATATATTTTATATATTAACAATATGTTAAGTTTAATAAATAAATATATTTTATAACATTTTTCAAATATAAATACTTCTCATGTCCACTTTTATTTGTCATGTTGCACTTTTCGAAAGTCAATTTGACTAATTTTTCACAGTTAAATTGGATTACATTAATTCGATATTTTAAACAAAAAATTTAGATATTCAAAAACTATACGAAAAGTACTATAAAATACAATTTCTTGCATATCAATATGATGAAAATATACATCGTAAAATGATAGTCAAAGATTTTAGAGTTAGACTCTAAAAAGGGAAACTATGACAATTAAAAGTGGACGGAGGTAGTATAACCTAGGTCCTAGGCCTCTAGTGACTAGACAACTTTGGGTCTTTGCTATTTAATTAGCCTTTACTTATTTAAGTTTAAAATTAAAAGATATTGTAATAGATAGTCTATCAAACAATATAGCGAAATCTATGCAACACTCATATTAAATGTTTAAGACCAAACAATACGGCAACAATGTTTTACATTATTGTCTTCTTGGTGAAGATTTAAAGTGTTTCTTCAAGAACATATATATTTTGCGAAAGAAATATTTTAGTAGTAGTATATTTGAGGTGATATTTTAAAAATAAAAAAAATGAAAATTAACCGAACCATACCGATACCAAAGAGAAACTGATATGATTGGGATGATTTTAAAAAATCTAATTTTGTTATAGTATTACAAAATACTCGAAAAACTGAAATGATATAATTTTTAAAAAATAATAGATTGAACCGTACCATTGACACCCCTAATAAAAAGTATAAGTTAGAGGGAACTTTATAATCAAACAAAATCATCATTTCTAATTCATCATCCCTATTTCCTCATTAAAAAAAAAAAAAAAGAATGGCATGTTGCACTAAAATATAATGCCCTTAAATTGTATTTTTCTTATTCAAATTAATTGAGATAAAATGATTCTCTCAATATAGCTTAACTTCGTCATGCCTGTTAAGTATGTAGGAATAGTGAAGAAGTATTTTCATTGATAACATGCTTCTCAATGAAATTTTTGCTAGAGTTAGACCAATATGTATAGTTCATAATTTTGCCACAAGACTTGATGTTGCCTACTTTCAATTTATACAATATAATTAATTGTTTATTTGCAGAAATGAAGACTAGTCAACAAGAAATTAAGAAGGCATAATACATAAACATGACTCTTAACTTGATGTTAGCTGACAATTATGACATTTAACTTTGGGTTTGCACAAGTAGACACTTAAACTTCTATAAAATTGAACAAATAGACACATTCATCCTACATGGCACCCTAATGGCAATTTTGTGTCCTACATGGCGTCCTACATGTATTATGCCATGTAGATGCGTGTGTCTACTTGTTCAATTTTATACAAGCTTAAGTGTCTACTTGTGCACACTCAAAGCATTGTCCGCTGAAACCAAGTTAAGAGTCATGTTTATATATTATGCCAATTAAGAATCAAAGGTAAATGACTATTAATGTATAGTTTACACATAGTTTTTTACAACTGAAAATGATCGAAAAAGAAATATATATATATATATATATATATATATATATATATATATATATATATATATATATATGCTACTTTATTAAAACGATTTTGTGGGGATAATAGAAGAGCAACTTTCACATATAGCAAACAAAAAAATCATATTTGTATGCTATAACAAAGTTTGCATAATTGCACTTCATAGCAAACATATATATGTATAATTCGCTATACATATACAATTGAAAGTTATGTCTATTTCGCTATACATATATACAAAAAGAAGCAATTGTATAATTCGTTGGCTCCTCATCAGATTTGTATAATTTCGCTGGCATGCCATTTGTATAAATTGTTGTTAGCCTCTCGTTTGTATAAATCGTTGACAAAAATATTTGTATATAAAAAATCGCTCTCTCTTTCCCTTTATACAAACATAAATTATACATTATACAAACATAAATTATACATTATATTTGTATAATATGTGTTTGTATAAAATGAGAAAGAGAGAAAGGCAAAAGAAAACTGGACAGAAGAATATTTGTATTGTATAATTATAAGTGTATAAGATGAATATATATGTATTTGCATGTGTATATACAATTTTCTTTCGCTTTATACAAACATAAATTTTACATTATATTGTATAATTTGTGTTTGTATAAAACGAGAAAGAGAGAAAGGCAAAAGAGAACTGAGCAGGGGAATATTTTTATTGTATAATTATAAGTGTATAGGACGAATATATATGTATTTGCATGTGTATATACAATTTTCTCTTGCTTTATACAAACAGAAACACAATTTATACAATTTTGTTGTATAAAGCGAGAGAGGCGAGCACAGAGGGAGCGAGCGAGAAAGGGAGAGTGGTGAGCGAGAATTTGGAGGGAGAGAGGCGACTGGCAAACATTTGCTACGGGGCGCAATTAAATCAAATAGTAGCTACTCCATTTATTTTAGATTATAAGTTTGTCATTCTGTACAATTATCCCATAATAGAAGCCACAAAACTTTATATTTACTTTAATGACAATGGGGCGGGGCAGATACTGATGGGGTGGGTTTAAGGCTATGTGGGGTAGAACGGGTTGCGAATATGTGATTTTATGCGGGTTCAAACTTAATTTTAATTTTTTACATGTTGTAAAATTGATAGAACATTAGTTATTAAGATAATTTCTTTAAAACTGCTAAAATATTCAAGATAATAAATGAAAATTGTTCAATAAAAATAATATAATTTCTTACATGTTCCCCAATTGACAACCTCTAAAAAATAAAATTTTAAGCCATTATCTATTAAATTAATACAACTCAATGAAAAATGAACTTATTTTTTGAATTTTATTTTTAGTATCAAACTTAACTAAAAAAAGAAACGGAAAAGGGACAAAAATACTCTTGAACTATTTGAAAATGTTTAAATATATCCTTCATTCATTTATTGGGCTAAAAATATCCCTCAATCCACATTTTTGGTCCAGTTCTACCCTAAATCTAACAACCTTT